TACTGTAGCGGTTATTCAACCAACGGTTTGACAACGGCAGTCTCCTCTTGTTGTTTCTTGTTTTTCTCTAAGTTTCCTCGTATATTCATTCAAACTGGACGTGATCATCAAATCACAGACCAGTAGCACCTTCACCCTACGCTGGTGACTAGCATCAGGACAGGTTCAGCTCTCAACCAGTCTTGTATAATTGAGGACTATCAAGACATGATCACATAACCATGACATACTTATCAGAACCATCAAGATTCAGATATCAAGTATTGACTTAGCCTATCGATCAGGTAGACTAATTACAAAAGCTAGACTACCGTTAATTTTTTCCTTCTAACATAAGTACCCTTTTTCTCTACGGGGCACAATCAAGTGTACCGTCGATATTTGGCATTTATCGCCATTATTTGGCGATATCGATCCTCTAGAGGAATTTTCTTCATTAGATATAGCGACTTGGTCACTTCGAGAATTAAGTTTTGGTTCAGCTATCATTGTGCTTTAATTAGCTCGAAAAGACCGCGCCGACACAATTTCCCACGGTATCATACGCTTTCCTTGCATTGATCAGATCTACTTCCAGGTTTCCGCTGCCGTTGCTTAAATAACAGCCTAGGCCTAGCCAAACTTACAACAGTTGGGAGTTTCAAAATATATCGTTTCTACAAACCCAATCCTTGGTTCTGTTTCTTCTTGGGACGGATATCCTGAACGAATGTGGGCAAACATTAGTGTCAGGTTCTGACGAACATCAGAAGCCACCCAGTCACTATAGAACTTCCCACCCAATACCCATACCAATAATCATATACTTATGGGTATATGTAAATATTAAAGTATATAGTTTGACGACAATATATATATATATATATATATATATATTGATATATGTGTCTATATATAAGTACTCAGGAGTCTCAGTACTGCGTAGTACTGGCCAGTACTACTGAGTCCCGGGACTCAGTACTGTGCATTACTGAGTATGTATATCTATACTAGTACAGATCGGTACTAGTATAGATATATCTATACTAGTATATGTACATATACATCCTCAGTATATCGATTATACCGATATACACATATATATTTAAGGTGATTCATATAAGAGGTTAATTAACCTCCAGTAACATATATTCTGGTACACTATATATTATACATATATATATATATACATATATAAAATATACTACATGTTAGTAGTATATATACATATATATAGATATAGATATACTATATACTATATATATGTATACATATATACATATATATAAATATATATCCAGCATATCCATATTTGTACTGATTATACGAAGTATATCCATAGGTCTATAGATATACTTAGTATATCGATATAATTATATATACAAATTAATATATATATTCGCCAATAATTGGCCAGTATAAATATACTGAGTATAAATTTAAAAAAGAATATCAACAAATATGGATACAACGTATACCTATAAGGCTGTACATACATGTGCAGCTATCTATGGGTATATATACCTAAGGATATTATAAGACCATGGATCCATGCATGGGTGTGACCATGACAAAAAGGTTTGCAAACCATATGCACTTATAAACAACTAAAGAATAACAATTAGTCCTTTATTCAAGTAAGCGATTCCAATCTAAAGACAAGCAAGCTGTAGGAGCCATTTACAATAGATATCATAGATATGCTTCGTAACCTTTGAAATAGCGTCCAATACTCAAGGTCATAGGAATCAGCAGGATAGCTGCACAAAACTCAAATTTCAAATTGCAGGACGTGGGAGGCCTTCATCTGTGAGGTGTCCTGGTAGCGGCGTGTTCTGTCCTGGGACTGACTCGCCTGCGAGTTGGTATTTTTCCGATTTGACCGCTCCGGAGTTATCTGGAATTAGAGACGGGAAAAAGAGATGGCGCAGCCTCTGTTTCTTTGGGGTCAGGGTCAGTTATCATTAGCATAAGTTTTGTATACCAGCAACCCCCGCCACATCCACTGGAACTATTTTGGCAACTGATTCCCGCTATTTCCGTGATAACCCAACGAGTGATCTAATTTTTCGGACTAGTAAACCACAGTGAACGATGCATGCACCCTTATCGAAGGCTCTCTCTCTAGCCTCTGTGATGACCAACCAACTCCCATTTTACATTTATCCTTTCGCCTTTTCATCTCACTGTTCTACCACACCCAGGCCACCTCTTTGGTCAGCACGTGTTTACTTTCACTTTCCACACACTCCCAGTCAGCACATGGGTACACTCGAGAGTCACTGTTTCGTCACGGGGGCATCTCGATAATTACTGTGTAGAATTTCAAACTGATTGTGCAAATGACATATAAAAAATCGAAATGGTCCATTTCGTAAACAATTGAAGAAATAACCAACCATTTGCCACAAATGAACGGTTTTTCATTTCATAGAAATCGACTTATTTAGTGTATTATATTTTGCATTAGCAGTGCTTTTGGCCCACTAAAATGTACTATCTTATCGTATTTACTTATAAGTATTTTATTTTTATCATTTACACCCTTGATAATTGTATTTTAACAAGTTTGATTTTAATTTGTTTAAATGAACTGACCTTGAAACCAGAATATGCCATATTGTTTCGCTGTTGTTTTCACTCATGGTGAGCCCCTCTCTGAGTATGTATCTTAAATCACGTTTATGGGCTATATGTTTGTAGTATATGTATATATACTTATGTATATGTTTATTATATTTAAGGATACATTTTATTAATAACATAATGGTATCCGTATATAATAGATGAAACGTCAGTCCAGCAAGGCAACGAGTGTGTCACGTACTGCTAAGTGAAGACGTATGCGTAAGGAAATTGAACGAATCGT